AAAGAGAGTGGATCAAGAGAAGGTTTATCCTCTAATAATTACCATTATTCCCACGAATAAAAGCATCGCCATACTTATTTTTCAACTGTCCGTTTACATATTCTTCCGTTTGCTCCATTGCGATATTCATATAACCATCTAAGCATGCTAGAATACCTGCACAAGGGAAAATAAACAACCAAAAAGATAAAATTCAAAATTGTATATCGTAAGAGGTACCCAAAATTCAGCTACTTTTGCCTTTCCCTTCTTTCTGATACAAAAGAACCCTGATAGAGTAGAGGAGGGGCAAACTTAATGAATGAAGTATAACTGATTCATGGACCTAGATGCTAGAAAAGGACATGGATAAAGCTGTTATTGCCAGCATAAACAGCAAATACATTCACCATCGTATGAGATATCCTTGAAATCAATTGGGCAAAAACTAGTCAAATTGTCTATTACTCAATATTGTTTTCTACGTCAAAACACAGATATTGCAAGACATTCAACACAAGGTTGGTATGTTAATAAATAATGAGCCATCCTCATGGACACAAAAAAGTGCTCAAATATGTTAAAAAAAAAGATAAAGGTAGATATAGAGCAACTAACCTCGATAATCAACACCAGAATTCAGTTTCACAACAACCGGTCGGCCACGGATTGATTTGAGGAAATCTGCTGGTGTTTTTGTAGTTGTTGACCCTTTCTCACCAGCTCCACTCATCTTGTTCTGCCCCAATTCAATACCTCTTTTACCTGAACACAAATAAAATTACAATCATTTGCTTCAAAAGTTTAGCTCACATAACATGGTGCACAACACCCTTTCACAGTATAATTGCACTTGCACCTTTGCAAACTATGAGGCGGTTCTCAACATATCTAGTTGGCTAAAAAGTTAAACCAAAATACATTCAACTTGACCACAATTTTTTTGGAGGATAACTAGCGGAACTCAGACATAGCCAACATGGGCCACATGTGCTATGCTGTTTCATAAGTCAGATAAATAAAAGAAAAAGTTCGGACACATGAAAAAGCAAATGAAGAACCAAACTGTTACCTTTCATAGCAAACTCAAGAAAGGCATTCAAATACATAAGTAAGAGGAAAAACTCAGAATGATAATGTGACTCTTGAAAAAGGATACAGAACTAGACGAAAAATGCAGAGCTAGAGCTTACATAAAATGTGTACTACTTTCCAGTTTCCACCATCAGGAATGACTTTGTCCAACTTAGGAATCACATTTATATCAAACAACAAACAAAGAAGATCAACATAAAATGCAGTAGATCAATGTCCACAACAAGTGGTCACACAGTTTCAAGCTGCTAAATCAGAAATCAACCCATCAACATGGTTGGGATGTTGGGACTAAATCAGCTAACCCTCAAATAACTGAACCAAATTCAACCCATATCAAAGAATTTAAATGCTAATCTTAGAAAAGAATCAATCCTTCTTAGAACATTTACCGTCCAAGAACACACCCATCTTGAAACAAAAGCATCAAATTTTCCAGTAAGAAATAGGAATCCAAAATTACCCATTCGAAAATAAAATCATACAAACAATATAAGACGCAAATTAACATAAATTCTCAAGAAAATCAACGTTATTGCCGGCAAAAAAATAAAAGAAAATCACCGTTATTGCTGTATAAAATTCAAGATTTAGGGCATCCAAAGGAGTAAAAGATTGAAGCAACCCACAACGTGCAAAGCCAAGCTAATCTACTTTCTAGTTCAGAGAAGTCAAGTTTACCTTCTTAATCGCCTTCCTCTAGACAATGACGAAGACGGAGAAGAGAAGAGCAAGTAAAGGCACCGACAGCGAAAGCAATTTAAAAGGAGACCTAGGTTACTTCTATGACTCGATAAAACGACGTCACTTTTCCCCTACATCCATTTTTAATATTTTTATAGTGACATTTAACCGACCAGCGCGCCTAGCTTCTGTGAATTTCGGTTCTGGAAGAGGGTTTTTGCTTTGCAAGGCCCTCATCTTTTTCTGGGTCTTAGGTTTAGTCCTTCAGTTTTTTTAAGGATTTTTTTTTTAACTTTAGGTAAAAGTTCATTTTAGTTATAAATTTATATAAGAAATATATAAATTTTAATATTATTTTCATATGAATAAATTTAATTAGTTAATTAATAAATTAAAAATTAACCTTTATTCTTCTAACATAAATTTATGACAAAAATAAATTTTATTACATTAAGATACAAATTAAAAAAGTCTTTCCGTTCAAATATTTCATTATACAATTTTCATAAATAAAAAATATTTTAAACTGTACCTTAATTCATTTATTATTCTTTTTCTTCTTAATTTATATAAAAAATAAATTTTGCACTTGAACCTTCTGTCAATGGCATCAAGTCATCTTTAAATGCTTTTTTTTTGGGACAATTGCTCGAATTTAATCTCTTGTAAAATTTTTCAAAAATAATATAAAAAATAAATTTTAATTTTATTAACTAAATAATTAAAATCATCTGCTTAGTATTTATGTTAAAAGAAAGTTGATTTTGTATAATTGTTCGTCCAAATTACACGGTAGAAGAACTCAATCAGAATTACCGAAAATGTTTAGTCGTTGTTACTGGCTGCTACCCCTTGGTCCGGTGACCTTTCTTCAGTCGGGAAAATTACTCAGATACGACCAAATAAATCCCACTTTCTGATTTCTGATCCTCTGCTTCCCCTGAGATTTGGATGGTAAGGTCTGATAGATATTTATTAAACTAAGAATCGAAAAAACTCTAGCTTGAATCCTCTGCCCTTTTGAACCATGAAGCCTTTCAGAAAGCCACTTCCTTCCCATCTCCTCCGACTCAACCCCAAATCCACCTCTACAACTTCCACTTCCTCAAAACAAACAAAACCCATATTCAGTTCTTCTTTTCCTGATCCAAATCCATCTATACTTCCTCAAACCGCGGCAGTTCCTAGGGAAGATTCAATTTCGTTGTTAAAGTTGAATTCATATCATGAACTGCCTAATACCGTTTTATGGAATTCATCACATCAATCAAAATCCATCCTTTATGATCCATTCTCACAGAAAATCAATAAAACCAGGTCATTTTCTGTTGCAAGTTCTGTGTCATTGTCAAAACCCCACATAAACCATGAATTTCATCATACCAACTTCTTTAAATCAATCAAGCAACACAAATTTGTATCCCAAACCATATTTTCAGATCCTTTCCTCTGCAAATTCCATCAAGCTAGGACTTTTTCAACTGGAAATTCAAACCCAGATCCCGAGCCTAGTCCTGTTTATGATACACCAGTGGTCTCCACTGTGGCTTCACCGTTTGAGAACTCTCGACCTATAGATGCAGGCTCTTCAATGAGAAAACCTATCAGTTTATGGCCTGGGATGTATCATTCACCTGTAACGAATGCTCTGTGGGAAGCAAGATCCAAAATGTATGAGAAACCGGCTGACAAGCCTATTGATACTGTTTCACAGAGTGAACTGGTTGCAAAATCTCCTTCCCAGAGTAGGACAAGCATTCTTTACAAGTTTTCTACGGATTATACACTTAGGGAACAGTATAGGAATCCATGGAATGAAGTTAGGATGGGGAAATTGGTTGAGGATCTTGATGCTCTTGCAGGAACTGTATCATATAAGGTAATAGGGTTACAAAATCTTTGTTGAATGACTATAATTTGCAATGACATCTGCAGTCCATTATATTGAAGTTTGCTGGGTTTAGATCAATGTTAAGAGTTTTGTATGAGTTATCTGAGAAGATGGATGCTTCTTGGCATTTGGTAGTTGTTCCGTAATTGATAATGCTTCTTAATTTTTAGTTGGCTGTTGTTCCTCAAATGTTAATACTTGGCATTGCATCTTTTGTTTAACCTCTGAAATTGAATGTTTATAGGTTGAAAATTGGAAGCTACAATCTTTAAAAATTTGCATTTTCAATATGTTTTTCAGCTTCTCAGGAGTAGGATAGTCACAGCTGAATCCTGATGTGTGCTCTTATAAATTGGATATTCGTCTTCAGATTGCCACCATTTTTTATGATTCTTGTTTGGTTCATATTAGTATTTATTCTTTAAATATTTCTAAAGGCCTTTAATGACCCTGACTCAATAAGCTGCCTCAATCTAGAGTATGCAGCAAGTTCTATCTTGGTAATGCTTGAATATTCAGCATTTACTAATTTTCATTTTTTTGTGGAACAGCACTGTTCCAGTGATGATGGCTCCACAATGCCTATATTATTAGTCACTGCTTCTGTTGACCGGATGGTTCTGAACAAACCAATCCATGTTGACTCTGATTTAAAAATAGTTGGTGCTGTTACATGGGTAGGAAGGTCATCCATGGAGATTCAGCTGGAGGTGATTCAGTCCATAAAAGGTAATGTTCCTTATTGATTCTTTGGTTTTCTTTGTATCTGGGCTGTGATTGGTAGCTGATCATTGTCACCATTGATTCTTCGGTTTTCTTTAAACTGAGAACTCTGTTTCAAGGTTTAGATCATGGATAATTGGTTTGACTTAGATATGCAATTTCTAAAATTTGCTTGTTTTGGAGAAGTCAAAAGGAGGCATAATCTAATAATTATCTGGCCATTCTTATATTTGTGGATTGGATTATAATTTGTTTTCATAAAATAAAAGAAAGTTAAAGAGAAATT